CAGCCTTGAAGAAACAACTCACAATGCAAGTTCCTCTGATCTTCCCTTGACCCAAAAATGAGATGAAATCCTTTCTCTGGACTCCCTGGCACCTGGTTCATGCCGATATCATTAGAAAACACATGGCATTGCCTGGTGGTAGTTGTTCAGAAGCCTGTCTCCCAGGTTAGAATGCAAGCTCTATCAGAACATGAGGCCATATTGTATATCATTTATACTCAGCTTACAGCACTATGGTTGACATGTTAGAGCCTCAGGGAAAGGTAAACGAAGACATTGATCTTTTAGGTTCATTTTACTGTAACAAGCAAACCACTTTCCTGCATCAGGTTTCCATTCCTAGGTCAAAGTAACTGCAATCTTTACCCAGCTGGAGATGCTAAAGACCTATGGCTGAGAAACAGCTGGGCCACAGTCACCAGAGGGACTCAAGCACATATTTAGACTAGACTCGCCAACAATTATCATAAACAGCCATGCATGTATTTTAAATGTCCTCCCCATCACTTCTGTACATTTTGGGATCTAAGCAAAGTACTAAAAACACACTTAGAGTGATCTTAGGGAACGGTGTTTCTATACTTAAAGTGGGGATTTTTTTTCTAAAGATAGCCAGTATGTCCAAAAGAGAAACCACAGGGCACTATACTCTCCTCCCATAAAGGGTTCGAACCATCAGCGATATTTCTGTTTCTCAACTGCGGAATTCACATCTGTTCACTTTTTAAAAAATCAAGTGCCCACATGATTTTAGTCATAATCATCATACTCACGAATTCCTTTGGTTTCTAGGTTTTCCATTAGTATTTCTTAATAGTTCTTCATGCAGAGTAAATTTGTAGTTTCAAGCTCAAATATTTAAAAAATGTTTGAGATAATAAAATAATTACACCTGTCCACTTTTAAGTTTTAAGGAATGATTACTATGGGCTGGGCTTTGTATCTTACCACCCCCAACTTTTAAATATTCTAAGTAGCCTGCAGGAGCTTTGAACTACAGATTTTAAACACCAGGACATTCCATGGTTTTCGCTGCAGAGTATGGAGTACCCAAAACCTCAGTAGCCAATTCCTGGAGGATTCCTGGGGCATCTGGGAGACTGCTTATATGACAGACTGAACAGATCACTAATATTGGAGTACATACCGATATCCCCAGGATAGTCTTAACCTGCTTGAAGGACAAGCAGCAAGCTGTTTCAAAAAACCATTGTGAAAGGAGTTGGGAACTGAGTTTTAGGGTTTCATCACTCATTAAAGTGATTCACACAGAAAAAGGTGACAGGCGGGCGGGGTGAGTAGTTCAGTTAAATGAGGCACAAGCTAGCCGACAAGTACTGTGAGAAAATGGGGGTAGGGACAAAGGGAAGGCAGAGGAGTTGATTATAGCAGGCTAGGTGGGAGCTCATTTGACAGTTTAGAGAGAAAGGGGCAATTGTTACCTCGTTAAAAGGGAAACATTTGACAGTTTGGGGATCTTTATATGAACATTTTTTCTTGACATAAGAACCGAGTACAGTTGGGTACAGAGAGGAAAGGAACCCCAAGGATTGGCAGCAAATGCTGTCCTGGTTATACTTTTTAAAAGAAAAATTTGAGAATTTCATACAGGGTATTTTGAACATATTTACTATTTATTCCCCATTCACACCTCTAACTCCTTCCAGATTCACACCAACCTCCCCGCCACCAAAAAAAAAAAAAAAAAAAAAAAAAAACAGAACATCAATTCCAATATGTGCTGCCCAAATAATCATGAGTGTAGGGCCAACCACTGGGGAATGGTTGACCTACCAAGAGCCACGCCCTTAAAGAAAACGGACTCTCTCTCCCCTAGAAGCCATGAACTGTCAATAGCTCCTTAGGCAGGGTAGCTTGTCACCTCCTGTCTCCACTCCATACTTGAATGTTGACCGGCTTGAATTTGTGCACACAGCCGCAGCTGCTGTAACTTAATGACAGCAGCACTTCTGTCACGTCCAGAAGACTCTGGCTCTTAACATTTTCCACCCCCTCTTCTGGGATGGTCCCTGAGCCTTGGAGAGAAATTGTGGTATAAATGTCCCAGTTGTGGTTGAGCACTCAATGGACCTGTATGTTCTGTATTTCGACCAGTTGATTCTATGTGAACCACTGTCCACCGCACAAAGAAGTATCCCTGAAGAGGTCTGAGAGATACAAATTTTGAGGGAAGTTTGATACTGTGTCCATTTATTTAGCAGAATACTATATACTATATAATGTATAATAATATAGTGGGAGGGTCCCCATGGGGCCTGTGAGCTCTCCAGCCAGATTTTCAATGGCAGACATCCATCCATCTTATTCCGTGGAACAGGCCTTAAATCCACTCAGTATCCATTCTGCCCCTTGAATCATAGAGGATTGGGTTGTGGACTCGAGGCTTTTCAATCTGGTCACGTGGTTGCTATACTTGACATCTACCTATACTATACTGTTACTTTGGAAGTGATTTTAGAAACCACTATTAATTAGAAACAAATGAAAAAGCAGAACAAAGAAATCAGTACCACCAAAGATGAAGAAGAAAACACATTTTCCATAATACCCAATTGGTGAAGTATGAAGATTCAGCAGGAAACAAGGCATCAGGCAGCAGTGGCAGTGGGGGGGAGGAGGGGGTGTGGGAGTGAGTGAGGGGTGTTGTCCTAAAGGGCAAACACCTATGTGTGTGCCTATTTTGTAAAACATTTATTGGCTATTCGTAACAAACTAGGGATAAGCACCAAAGATAAACAGGTGACTTAGTTAAACTTCCTTTGCTCACACTCCAAGGAAGCAGCTCAAATTAAAACACAAAGGAAACCAGGCATTTCTGAATAGGGTAACCCTGAGAGATGAACAGTACCTGAAAATCACGGAAGTAGTGCTCTCTACTGAAGGATGTGACTGGGACCAGCTGTACTTCTGGTTCTCATGCATACTGTAAGTTTAAGTACTGGGGGGATGCAGTTGGGCTCTATGATGGATTCTGCATACAGCTGCTAAATCAAACTTCAGTTCTTTTTGGCACTAACAGGGCTGGATTCTGTCTGGCAGTCAAAGGCTGCCAAATCCCTGATTTAAGACATCGCCTTTCCAATGAAAAATAGCTATAATGAAAACAGCTTATGTCTTACATAAACTCTTAGCAGTATCACACACACATTAAACAGGACCCATAGTACTTTATTGCACGTGGACTGTCACACTGAGTTAAAACTGCCATTTCTTCTTTTTAAGAAAAATCTTGCTTCTTCAAGGTTTCTGTAAAAAACAAAACCCAAAACCTCTAATGTCTGTGAAGAACGCTTGTCTGAATGTATGCAGGAAACAGAAGAGGGTGGGGCGTTCGGGACTGGAGCTACAGCATCGTTGCCACCTGATGTGGGTGCTGTCAACAAGACACTTCCCTGGTGGAAGCACCCTTTAACTGTCCAGCCATCTCTCCAGCCCCTACAAGATTAATTTTAACAGGGCCAGTTTGATTTTACCCAATGGTGAAGTCATGTCTAAAAGAATCAGTTTTGTTGTCATTTGATTTTGCCTTACGCACATATGACTTTTCATAAATGAAAAACTGCCCCTACTTCAACCCCAAGTCTTACAGCTTTGAATATCGACCCTAAGTTATATCTTGAAGGAACAGAAAGGTTAGATGAACCATCTTCCTAGACAAGAATGACCTCCCAGGACCATGCGGAGGAGGTAAAGGTGATCTGGGATATACTTCCCTTCTGTCCCTGATGCTAGTTCTGGCTTATCTGGCTTACTTTTTCTTAGTTCTTTCTTGTACCATCTATCCTTTCTTTTGCTCACTGGGTTAGAAATGTGGGCCTTACTGGATGAAGGTATTCTATTCCTTTGGCCAAAGAAAGTTGGACAAACCTTGGAAGACTGGGCGACATATCTAACAGCATATATGGGATGCTGGCGGCCACCAGAAGACTGGTGATTGACAGTAATAAATAATAATAACAGTAATAAACAATAGGCCTTTTCTATGTTGTGATACAGGAATACACATGTGCCATTTCCTTCCAAATTCCCAAATGTAGTGCATGTGCATCTACCTAAGTTTAACAAGTAAGGTTAAAATAACTTCACAGTTCAAGTCAAAAATACTGGGCTCAAGCTGGGGTGGTGGCCCATACCTTTAATCCCAGCACTCCACTCGGGAGACAGAGGCAGGCGGATCTCTTGTGAGTTTGAGACCAACCTGGTCGACAAGAGCTAGTTCCAGGAAAGCCTCCAAAGTCACAGAGAAACCCTATCTTGAACTTCCCATCAAATATACTGGGCTCAGCAGTGAATTAACTAACTGGCAAAAACTTCAAACAGATAAGACAATGTGGGAATCCAGCTCAGTTTGTCTAGTGTATACGAGGCCCTGGGTTCAATTCCAAGTATTGTCAAAACAAAATAAAACACATGGCACCCCAAATGCAAAATGATATCTTAATGTGTTTGAATTTTCCTAATGTGATATATCAAAACTTAATTACACACATAATATTGTCTGAAATTATTATTCTTTTTTTTTTTTGGTTTTTACGAGACAGGGTTTCTCCGTATTGTTTTGGAGGCTATCGGTCCAGCCCGGCCTCGAACTCACAGCGATCCGCCTGCCTCTGCCTCCCGAGTGCTGGGATTAAAGGCGTGCGCCACCACCGCCCGGCTGAAATTATTATTCTATGAATAGTTTTCAGCCAACAAATTTGTGTTTGGACTACTTTCTGCATATGGACTAAGTTATATGCAGTTTTTACTCATTATAATTTCTGAGTTATTCAAATTGATTAAGCATTATAATTTAGGACATTTTAATATTCTTCCTATAATGGCAAAAAGCAACTAAGGAAACAAGTAAATACATTTTAAATTTCTGTCTAAATATGTACTGTAGATAGTGACTTTCTGCTAAAAAATACAAGTTAGCAACTGTAGAACAGGAAGCAATATACCAATAATTAAATAATTAAAGAGACAAGCCTCAGTAATACAGATATCTATTTTATTAAAAAAGTTACAAACAGGTGGACTGCAGGGTCGTCTTACAAAATGACAAGAATGAAATCTATTGGAAAAATTTTTACTTTTACAAATCTTCATAGGTAATTGTTCAATGTTTGTACTTGTTAATCGAGATTTTACCGTTCACTGATAAAGTTACAGTACATTAGACCCATGATAATAGGTTACATGATTTTATTTGCAGAGCCCTACTGCAGTGATTTGAACAACTCCTAAACAGATGCCATAGTAAAGACAAGACATATATTGCATTTAATATTCATTTCTTATCCTAATAAGCAACATGCAATCTATTGAGGAAGCTAAAATAACTTTTGGTCCCTTTTCTTAAAATGTGCTGGAGAAACCACCTTTAAAATCACTTTTCCCCTGATTCCTGTGATCCTAAGTGAATCCACATGAAATTTGCTGCTGAGGTCAATGGCAATGAGCACTGTGGTAGAGATAGAGGTGACAGAAGGTGAAGAAGGGAAGGAGGGAAGAATCTCCATAGGAAAGAAACACTGTCTAAAAATCAATCTGCAGAAAACTGAAGTCATCATGAATGATTTGATTCCTTTAGGATTTCACGGAGCTAGTAACGATGAGCCACAACCACTTAAGCTACTCAGAAATGAGTGTGTGTTTTTAAAGTGCAAATGTAAAGTAAGTATTCATTTCAAGCAGTTTGTAAATAAGGAACAATGTTTCAATTGCCTCTACCCTTATAATCTCACCATCCAATCCCAAATTGAAGAACAGGAGCTCACTTTGAGGGAATCTGATCAGGAATCAAATGCAACACGATTTAAAAAAAGGAAATGAAAGCTTAATCATTTTCTACTCATTTATCAGTGGCCATGCTGACCAATAAATCACATGAATGTAGATATCACTTTATTTGAACACCACACACAATACAAATTTAAAACTGCCACACCCTTCCACAAACCATCACTGCATATAGTAGAGCTTTTCTTGACAAAGTTATTGAGCTATTATTATAGATCAAAAGTATAGTTTTGGTTTTCTTTTATTTAGAAGCATGTTCAAATGACTAAAGCTGGGCTCCTAAAATGGAGAACTTTGGCGCAGTAGGTGAGCTGCAGTTACTAGCTTCTGCAAATTAAAAGCACACAAATAAAACCTAATAAAAACTCAAGAACAAAATACTGTCAAACTTACACAATTGAAAAATCACTGCTAGAAAAAGCACTGCTCAGGATGTTAAAACCAAACCAAAAAATTACTCATTGTAAGTTTTTTTTTTCTGTTCCTATACCTGTGTTACTGATAAAATGTTCAAGTATTCAGACAAAATGTGCTGATTAGGTAAACAACATGGAAGGCAATGGCTATTAGAAAGCACATTTGCAAAAATAAAAAAAAAAGAGCCAGAGACTTGGCGCTATTCTCCCTCCTGTTACACAGATTTTTGTCTCTACTACGAACATGCTTCTTGAAAACTAAAAAGCAGTTGTGATAGTGCAAGAAAACATTCACAAATATTGCTTGAAACTGTGTTCAGAAAGACAAATATTAGGAACTAGAAAGTGTACATGATTTTATTTGAATTCAATTTTACATGTGCAGAAGTCTACCAGATGCCAATGACAAGCCTGCCAGGCAAAGCTGAGCTATCTCTGTTTAGGTATACAATTAATTTACCATGGACACAATATCCCTTTTCAAAGGCATTGCTAAGTAGGTCATAACTAAGTTTAGAACTTCACAGAAAGGAAAATGTTACTACCGCAATTCAATGCTGTGAATGAGATTAACACATGTGAAGGCCTAATGGAATCCAATAAACTCTTCAAGTAAATGCCGTACAGTCAACTCCCAATATCACCTGTAACTTGCAGATTGGTAATTACAAAACGCATCACAAACTGCACTTGAAGAAAAGGGAAATTCATCCATACAGGTAAAATGTGATCTTTAGTTTCTTTTTACAACACTGCCACATGTAAACAAAGTCTCAAAGTATTAACCAACCATTTAAAGGAGAAAGATTTTACAAATAGGATGAAGCATTGGTACGAGGTAATATACAGAAGTAACCATTTGTTTAAGGCTCAATTTTTTCTCCATTATATCTTTCTTTTAAAAGGCATTGAGTAGGTAATACTGAGTTTGAGTAATAAATACAAGTTGAGAAACTGATTAAAGAAATCAATTAACATATTAAAATTAATCCTTTCATATTAGCCATCAATAAGAACTTAAAAAGCTAGAAAAGGACGGATTGATAAAGAAGAGATTTTAAATGTATGGTAAACGTGCTAAGCATTACTGTTAGGGTCCTTGGATCTTGAGGGCCAAAGACCTTCTGCACTTCATTAGATGTATGGCAACATGCTGTGATAGAGACAGGTTTACCAAGGCTCAGTTCTGCAACCCAGGTTGTAAAGTTCTCCAAAGCAGCATCTGTGCAAATTTCCTCTGAGTTTTATCTGCAAGTAAGATCAGAGAGATTTCATGAAAACCTAGAATTATACAGTACAGTATTCAGAAACTTCCCTGATAACAGATCCATATGCATGCATGCATGCTGAAGGTCACTAGTATGGGACCTTAGGGTGCAACTTCACTGTGTTCTCCATCAGTTTAAGTAACAAAATAATTTTCTGCACAAGTCCAGAAGCAGACAGGTAGTAAGGCTGAACTGGAGAATATACTGTGTCTCTGTTACTAGTTCTTATGATACTATAACACTTCCTACTTACATGTATGTGATACTCCAAACATTAGTACTGATTAAAATGATCTTACAATACACAATTTGAGGCAAATGGAGCTTCTGCTTTGAACTCGATCTGTTCCTATTATAACTGGAAATGGTGATAGACTTCAATGCTCATTATAATTTACCCTGTTATTACACTACTTCTTCCCAAGTTTGGTTTTGTGGGAATTCAGTATGATTCCGTGTGTAGATACTCAAACCTAGACAGTGACATGCAACAGGTCACATGCCCTATTCCGACCTGCTCTTTTTATGGACACCCTCCAGTCAGAAGAACTTCTGTAATAGACACTCCTTGATTTCTACCTTCCATTTAATACTGGGAAAGAAAAAAAAAACATCACTCAGACAAACAGTGCGTCCTTCAGTTGGGCTGAGTCACCAACTGGCTTCCAGAGAAATGAAATTGTGTTTGTTGTTTAATGTAGAAGATAAAAAATTATCATACAGCCAGAAACAAAAGAAAAGAAACTACAAAAGAGAGCCAGCTGATGTGAGATCTAGCAATGTCTATAAACAGGTAATTTTAAATTTATTTGACAGCTACACCTCTATTAATGTTCAAAGAGCCTGAGAGAATGTGTTCTAATTAGCTGTATCATAAACATGATTACTCTGAAAGAATTTCCCACTCATCATTATTGAAATTCTGCCACCTAAACATACTAGGAGAATCTTCCTCTTTAAAAACTATCTTAAAAACTTTGTCTACTTGAAAGTCAGACTTAAATGTGGAAAGCTAAGTATTAGATTAGAACATGGATTAAGTTTGAGAAAGTTCAGTTTCCTTATCATTAAGATAGCAAGAAAAATCCTTCCTCACAGAGTTGCTTTATCTATCATATAAGGCAGTGCGTGAAGGCCTTCCATAAACTGAGTATATAACATTAGGAATTGCTTTCATTTCCCAACCATGTTATTGATTTTGAAACCACTAGGATCAGATCATCAATTCTTTAATATCTACACTAAAGAAATCCATACTTTTCAAGCTGTTAGAATTTGTTTATCTTTTAAACCAAACAGTATTTGATTATTTATATACAATATTGGACTTTTCACTAATTCATATTAGGCTTCCCCTAATTTATTCAAAAAAGTGTACTATAAATTCTAATTTGCAATTTTCAAAATAAATATACAAAAGCTTGAGTTTTTCAGATATGATTATAATGTCATATTTGACATAACATGTGATGGTTTAATCCTCTAACATGAAAGTGACAAAATACATACCACAAACCAGCTTACTAATCACATTCTACATGAAATAAAAACTAAAAATCCATCACTTTCCACCCAAAAAACCATAAGTTACATTTGGTCTATCTGCATGCCTCCAGTGAAATCAAGCCAAACAGATAAATTCTGAGTCACACTCAACAACACTAACATTGAGCATACCTTCAAAGCAATAACGCTCACTTTTCAAGAGAGCAATAAATTATAGCCCTCAACAGCAATAAGTCCTGCATCAACTTCTTTCATTAAGCTAAAAGGATAGTGTCTCTCATATTAGGAATGTTCAAGATAAAAATGTAAATGTCCTTGCTCTAAGTGACAACCAAATGTCTAGTTTATTAACACTCTCGCTCGCTTAAAAGAAAGCCACTTCACGTCTTTAAAGGCAGCCAGGCAGATTAGCACATTTTCACTTGCTATCACCTGAGACGCTTGCTGCTTCCCTTGTTCCACATGCCATAAAATAATACTTAAGCTACCAGCCAGCAAATAAATAGTGGTTCTGGCAACATCTACTCAAATGCTCACCAAAGTGTTTGGTTTTACTTAATATTTTTTCTATAAAAATTATCAGAGTAAAAAACAGAAGCAAACAATAGTTTAAACACTATCTCAGAAAACCAGAAAGGATCTCCTAAGTAGAATAAACTGGTATACAAACATACCAAACACAGACTCGAAAGAACAAAGATCATTATTTATGTCAGCCTGAAGAAAAAGGGAGATTCTTGATTCAGGACAAAACATTATTTCACGAGGCAGCAGAATGCCCAGGATGGTAACAAAAGGATCGTGAGGGGCTAGTAGTTTATGAATGTCTGTTTTAGCTTAATAGATGTTCCATTTTTAAACACAATGGTGGTATTGACTACCATAACTTTTATTATTTTAGCAAACATAGATGTTCACCCACAGTTACTTTTTTCTTTTTTGAAATGTTGGAGAATCAATCAAGGAACAATCCTAAAAGATAAAAGTTCTCTTTATATCTTTACATGACGTTTTCAGATCTGAGCTAAATATTAGTTGTAATGATGGAATTCTGTTACGTGATAGAGGCAGATTTGTTATTGTTGTTGCTACCTATCTTGTTTCATTTCTTTACTCTAATTTGCATGAAGCTTATTGGCACTGGACTAGGAAGACCAAATCATTAAAAGTATTCATTGCCTCTGATTAAACAGACAGCAAAAGATGAATCCATGTCATAGATGCCTTGAAAGGAAGTAGAATCATGCTGGAAGGGAAGTGCATGTGCTGAGTGCATATGATAAACCCAGAGTCAAAGGGAAGGGCTTGGATATTGCTCTTATTGCCTAGACCTAAGATTGTCAAATGTTTTCACATGATGAATTCCATTCTAACATCTCAAATACTGTCACCATGTCCACCATGCCATCATAGTGTGAGGCCAACAATGAGATTCCGGTTGCTAATTTTGAATCAGACCAAGTAAAGTACTGTTCCCCACAACTATAAGTAGTACATTTTGAAGGCAATATTTCCAATACTGTAGCTAATCCAAGGAAGTTGTGCATATGGTTTTGATTGGATACATTTTTCCAACAACTGACAGGACTTCAATTTTTCTTAGTTGCATTATCTTCTGATTTGTACAAACTCCCCTGAGAAATAATTCCATGGGGAGGTTTGTTCCAGTAGTGAGGTTAGAACGCTTCCTTGGTGGTAATTCTCCAACTCCATAATGCAATTTTTGTTAATTCTACTGACGGTCCATTATAAGCCAGGGAGGTAATGGAGTAAAACTTAGTGGCTCACATACATTTCATTCTAGAATATAAGTCTAATGTTAAGGTGAGAGGAAGTAATTAAAGAGGTTAAAGGTACACAGGGTCTTTCTAATCAGGTACCCCCACACCCAACGTAAGTCTAATTAGGCACCCATCTCCCCTGAAGTGTCAAACTGAGAGCCTTGTGGGGAGAGAAGGGCTGGGGAGAGTCAAGGGTGGTAGGGAAGGCACACGCTCTGTGCATCCCTAATACCCAGGGCTGCCCTAGGCACTCATGGTATGCTGTAGGCTCCAAAGTATGCTTCTCCCCAGACCAAACCCTCTCCTCTCTGGCTCACACCATGAAGACAGGACTGTTTCCCCACTTCAAGTGGCATGTGCAATAGGGCAGGGAAAGAAGATGCACCTGACAGCACTGCACTTTCTGCAACAGAGATCCACCCTAGGCATCTCCTTATCCAAGGAGTGTTCAACTTGCATATTAAAATGCCAGCATTTTCAGGTACATAATGTGATTTAATCTTGAAGATTTTCCTTTCACATTTGCTAAACAGTCACATTTAGTGAAAAAATAGGATGAAGAAACTATTCTCAGTCTATATTTATATTTAAAAAACCTTGAAAATTGAATCCATCCTATTCCATTTAAGAAATACTAAGGCCAGCTAGAATAAAATCCCATTCATAGATGGTTTAGCCTCCCAGGAGTCTTTGTTACCATCCTGGGCATTCTGCTGCCACGTGAAATGACGTGCTAGTCTTGAATCAAGAATCTCCCCTTTCTTCAGGCTGACATATATAATGAATTGGGGCTGACATAAATCATGATCTTTGTTCTTTCATTTTGCTTCCTCGTGTTTGGTACTGTGCTGCACCATTTACTGTACTTGGGAGAACCTAGTCCATATCATGCTGAGGAAAATGGTAGAAAAATTTTCAGACCTTCAGATCACAGAAAAGAACACATTTCCCTCTTTTTATTTTAATTTTTCCTTTGTAACATTCATCAATACTGAACTGACATGTAAGACTGCTCCAAGCATCATTTTAAATCACTCTAGTTGCCAAAAGGTTAGTCCAAATTATCACATAAGGGATAACTTTAATGTACATCTCCCTTCTTTTTGGCAAATGGATAGAATATTTAAGGGTAGTATTATGGCCTTTCTTCAGATTCTTTCTGTTTAGAATAAAAAACTCTACCTTCCATTTGCTGCACCATATCCATTTTTCAAGGCCTAACTCAAATGCTACTGTTCCCAAGTTATTTAAGCTCACTGGTTCTTAACCAGGGGTCATTCTACCCCCACATTCATGGGGATATTTCACAACTTTCAGAGATAATACGTTTTGTCAAAGTGGAGGGTTTGAGAATAATAGCAAAGCTACTGGGTAACTGCCAGGGATGCTGCTCAACATTTTGATGCCCCTACACATAGGACAGCCCTCAAAAACAGAAGCCCAGAGTACCGAGCATTTCTGCTTTCACCTTCCTCTCAATTCCCACACTGCTCTCGTTTTCTTGTTTTATAGTATGTTATTAACAAAACAGCCACCCTTCTTAATACCATTATATCCACTGAAATCCTAAACTACAGATGGAGGAGCTACTGTCTTAGGGACTAAAACAAGGGCTCCAACACTGACCTAGGCTTTTATGGAACCGTGGCTGCCTGGTGAAACAGTTCTACGAAGCGCTTGCTAGAAACCACTGTGGGTCAGCAAGGAAATCAGGATGGCGGCTGGCTGGGTCTAAAGAATCTGCCACACTTCCTAATTTACAAGAAAGTGGCTGCCAGTGGGAAGGTAAAAGGGGAAGAAAAACGCATGGGAGCCTGGCTCTGAAGCAGGTGTTGGGCAAGAGATCGGTGACCCAAATTAAAGGGTGTTAGGAAATAAATGTGAGGGATTATCAGGAGCCATTCTTAGAGCACTAATAAATCATCCTTCCTCAGCTAAACACAGCAGCAACCATGGGTTTTCTGTACTATTACTTCTAACTTCCTACAAAGTATTTTTCTAAGATGAAGGACAAACACTCCTCAAGTCACCTTTACTAGTTGAAGTTTGATCATCAATCTAGATCTGGAACTGACAGCCTTCAGGGCTCCATGACTCACAGAGACTCACAACCCATCACATACTTGTTCAGGTATCAGTGAGGAAGGACAACCAGAACCTTCACTGGCCTCAGGTTACAGACCTGCATACCTATCAGTTCCATCTGAGTTGGTGTTAGAACAAACCCTGCATATAGTGCACACTGTTCTAAAACAGCCTTCAGAAATCCAGCTGATTAAGGGGTTTATTTCAGGGGCCACACCTTCAGCCATGCACTGTTTATAAGAACAAAAACAAATCAAGCAGAAAGTTACATATCATTACAAAGTCACTTAATAAAAATGTGTAATTACTGGTATTAATAACATCTGAGTTTAGTATGTCACTCAACAAGAAACATGAACATAGTAGGTTTGGTATAGTAAATCCCTTCTATGTACATATCCCTGTAAGTAGTGGGAAAATTTAAGATGATGAGAGCATATAAAGTGAAACAAACTCAGACATAATTTACAACAAAAAATTTAATGATATCTGTAGAAATTATCCAATTCCCAACAGGGGTAACAAATGACCCTGTATGTACATGAGGCTAATTTTGCTTTTACCCTCTTTTCCTACATTAATAACAAGAAGAGATATTTTATGGGATTTGGTTAATTTTGTATAAAGATGGTAAAACTGCATCCATTCAAAAGTCTTCTGTTCAAAAGTGTGAGAAAAGTAGAACTAAATGGTGAAGATGCTATCAGCATAGAGAACTTGTTCAAACCTGAAATTGGTTGTAATTCAAAAGACAGATTATAGGATCAAGAATGTGGGACTCAATCACTTACATATCTGCCTGGTCCCGCCTCAGAAAACTACACTGGATGGGTGATACTGTCAGTGATATATAAGCTATACTACAGTTCTAACACCACACTATATAAAATAACAGATTTAGCTAGACATAATAAATGATTTTTCATCAACGTTTTTGGATGGTTAAAGGCTAATGAGTAAATGCATTTTGAATAAAACACTGTTGTCATTCTTCATTTTCAAAGATGACACTACCTGACAAGAGTCCTTGTCTAAGGACATAAATTAGGGACCACGAGTCCCTTCTCTAGGCAGCACAAATAAAGGCAGACCTTTGGTTAGGAATCACGTCTGCGATCTGACATGCCTGGTGCCATTTGCAAAGCTGCTTCCTAGACTGGAGGTCAGCCCTGGCTCAGAAAGGTCTGTTGCATTCCTGATACCGTCTTGCTAGTCTGGCAATTACTGGTTTTCTTAGTCTTCCACAGTACTGGTGGTTTCTATGATTATTTAAGTGCTACTCTCGGTGAGATTATTTGTGCGATTACAATCCAGCTGAAAGTCAACACATCCTCTCATCTTAAATCTATGATAAAGTTTCATATAACCTTATTTTCTCAAAAGCTCTTAAAAGCCCTAGTATAATTTCACATAAGGTGTGAAGGTTTCTTATTGTTCTTAGTTTCATTATTTATTAAGCTGAGTAGAAATGACTCGGGTGTACAGGATGGTTCCTCTGACACACCACAGATGAATTAAGCAGAGTTTCATTTCATCAGGTATTCGGAATGAAGTGAAGGTACTTTGTGGCTGTGCAATTTGTTATTACCAGAGGTCACTTAAGTTGTATGAGTGCAAGATGAACTTGATTAAATAATCATTCTGTTAAATCAAGTACTTGATTAGAAAATTGGTGGTTTCAATTATAGTGGCTCTCTTGCCCAGAATATAAAGGTCTTAACAACATCAGGAATTATTCATCATCTTGTGATAGTATTTTTGAATGTTCTGCTGTGCATCTTGAACACCAAGCCTGCAGAACAGGGGAAAGATGCACTATGGGATGAATCATCCCCTCCAAGTGTTATCTATCGAGCAAGGCTGAGAAGGAAAACTAGGAGGCCACTCCTTAACAAAACTAAGTCTCATCAATGGCAATACACGCAACTTCTTACCTTTGTTCTGCTTATCTGCAGTTTAAAAAGGTTTTCTGCATTGAATGATGATGGCTTTATGCTGAGGAAAAAAATGTTATTTTAAAAATACAGAAATTTAAGGTGGTATCAAAAGTATGGATGTATTACTACTAACCAGTTGTTTATTTTATACTTGATCAAAACCAAAAGGCCACCTGGCCCATGCAATTCCACCAACAACTAACCTGCTCGGTATGGCCATGATTGAGGTTCTTTTTTTACTGGACAACACAAGTTGTACAACACTGATCTTGCTTCTCGGGCAGGGATGAATAGTTCATTTGCCTGACGATCTCAGCAAAAAGTTCATCCACCATTGATTTACTTTTTGCTGATGTTTCCATAAAAGGACAGCCCCATTCTTGAGCCAGAGCTCTGCCTTCTGAAGACATAACCTCTCTCTCTGGTTCCAGGTCCACTTTGTTCCCTACTAGGATCAGTGGAACTTTTTCGTATCTCTTCACTCTCACAATCTGATCTCTCATTGGCTTGATATCCTATTCAAGCAATCACAAAGGAAAAGAACAAGATTATATGTTTGCATTCCACAGCAGGTGTGTTACAGTATCACAAAAATCATTCCTTGGTGATTATATAAAGCCAAAACCACATACTTAAATAAAGACAACAGTGCCATTTCCCCCCAGGGAAGTGAGAACTAGACCATCTCCACAGGCACTAGCTGTGCTTCTGCATCAGGAATATAAAATACAAGCTGCACACTCACCTTAAAATTCATCTAACCACTGCCCCCCACCCTCTGTCTATTTCAATTAAAGAATCAAGTCCCCAAATATGATTAATCCATTTGTACATACAGATGTTTGGCCAGCTCCCTAAACCTGCCTAATTGTCATCGTTCCTTGTAACACCTGTTATCCCGGCACAAGATTGCAGCAAGTATGTAACTCCTAGTCATTTAGCAAGAGGACTTAAGAGAAAGTGTTTTAAGAGGGAACCAAAAAAACCTACCCAAAAAGCGACAACCCCCAACCTATTTTGCAATACCTAGAAATCCAGTTTTAAAAACAGACATACACATAAATATTTCATTTTAAACTGGTTACTATGTCTGTGGTAACAGTGAACATGTCCCAAGAAGGACAATGCATCTGGAGTCTGGATGAGAAGTCATACATTTCCTCGGCCATTGCTTCCCTACTCATTTTACACAAAATGATCAGAATCTTAGCTGCTTTTCAGTGATATCAATTTTTGGAGAGAATTGTATCGATATAAGACAATATAGGTTTAGGCCTGGCACTGCATTTTTTTTTAGTTTTGTAACTTAAATCTAAAATCTAAAATATGTATTTGAGTAATTACATTAAACAGAACACTCCCACACAGGTCAAATATACCAACTCAGTCTTCTCTGTATTGCTAAGCTGCTTCTTGGGGATTCCTTATGGGACAAGTTTAGCTAAAAATACCAACTTTCACGTCCAAAGAATCTGAGTCTGCTGAAATAATGCCACAGCTCCATATTCCATATTTATGTCTACAACAGAAGTGCATTCAGTGGAAACCTTAGGAAACACCCTTGCAAAGGCTTCCAGTCTCAGGAGTCTGCTGATAACAAACAAATTTCCTGAGGATCCCCTAGATAGAAAATACCCTTAGTACTTCCTGGGGAAATGATTTTATGGTACTTTTGTTTGGAATTTGGATCTACCTAAAACTACTTGAATTCATTTACCCAGAACTTACTATCTTTACAAAGAAGTTCTTGAAGTTGTTACGAGGTTACCAGAAAAATTCCGATATAGCACTTTACCCTCAACTCCTGAAGAATGTGAAACCAGCACATTACACAGGCACTTAAGATTTCCTAAGTAAGCAACACTGAGTGCATACCTTTAAATGCAGAAAAAATATCCGTTTCCTAAATCAATGGTGGTCAATATTAACGGGTCAATATAAGGTCATTTCTTTTCAAAGAATAAATAGCACAATTACTGCATCTCCTAAAATAACGTTAACTTCAGTCTGTTTCCCAGTAAAAGACAGTACGAATTTTCTGAAGCAACTGGACCAGATCCAGGTTGGCTACCCCACTGGGATAAGAAATCTGCCCGTGCTCAGCGTTCCCAGTTCCACATATTTTCTTTAAGTATAGGCTACGATGGCAGAAACGATTTGTACCAACGAGAAAAAAGGAGGGTCATTCTTACTTTCTGTTGGCTATGAATCCTAGGTCCTAGTCTTTTAGACTAGTAACTTCCTTTGCGGCTGCATTCCCCCAAGTAAAATACCACGACAACAGAACTCGTACTCATTTGGCAGCAGAGATTTAGGATTCCAGTTGAGGAACTTAGAGGCAAACGGAGAAGTGGAGGAAGGAAAACCAGGCGCACAGGTCTTTTTAAATCTATGTGTAAGAGATAATGGGCTAAACAGTTTATTTCTTCGTGCTCCATCTACTTGAGATTATCTATGAAATGTTTTGTTGAGCACGTTAATCGATACTTGTTGAATTGAATAAGCAACTTCAGGTTATAGCGAGGGCTAAATATACTCAAGCTGATCTATTTCGTTTTCACTTTTCTTTCCCTTAAAAATAACTTTAAAATATCTGTCAATTCCTGTTCTTTTAGCCCTCTCTACAGAAATAGTCCAGTGCTTTCCATGCCATGCCAAACTTTCAAAAGCCAAACACACTTATTAACGCGCAGCTCAAGCAAATCAGAAGTACATGTAGGATTACCACACCCCCTTCGAAGAAATTACAAGACTCGGTTTGATTACCTGAAAGGACTGTTGGTTAACCAAACTATACACCAGGATGAAACCTTGGCCGTTTTTGATGTACAGATCTCTCATGGAGGCAAACTGCTCGGTCCCTGCGGTGTCCAGAATTTCCAACACTGAGGGGGAAGAGTCCACTTCGATCTCTTTGCGGTAGAAATCTTCAATGGTGGGGTCATATTTCTCAATGAAAGTCCCAGTGACAAACTGCACAGTGAGGGCAGATTTGCCAACCCCTCCACTCCCTAACACCACCACCTTGTATTCCCTCATGAGTCTCACCTTCACCAACTCCTACCCAAGGGGGGGGGAAAAATAACACCCCGCTAGCTGCGCTGCGGCAAGGCGAGGCGGAAGGTGGGCGGAAATGTGCGAACTGGGGAGGAGAGTGCAGAGAAGCAGAGGGCCCAACCGGGGACGAGGAGGAAGTTACAGGAGGGGGAGGGGAAAGAGCCAAGTGTCGGGTGGGTGGGGATGGGAGGGTAATGCCCTTCCTATAGGAACCTAGGGCCGGCCCGGGGGGCGTGGGGAGAAGGGAGCGCCGGCGAGCGGCCGAGCAAGGGTGGGGAGCCGCCGCGCACCCCCACGCGGGAAGGGGCGGGGGCCTCGCGGCCGGGGGCTGCCCGCCACCCCTCCCCCGCCCTGCACACAAAGGGGCCCGGGGACCCCGTTTCCTGCCGGCGCCGCTGCCGAGCTGGCCCGAAGCCTCGGGGCCCCGCTGTGCTCACTGCCGCCCGGGCGGGGTCTCTGGGCCCCCGGTTCCCGCGGGGGTCGTCCGGCCTGTAACGGGGGACGGGGTGGGGGGAGAGGGGGCGCCCGTTAGGAGTCGTCTGACCTCCACGCCGGCCCCCCAAAGCCGCCGCCTCGGCTGCCTCCTTCCCTTGCGCCGCCGCCGCCGCTTACCCTGCCGTCCGCTCTCCCCCAGCCGCCCGGGACGCTCTGTCAAGCCAAGGCCATGGCCACCCGGCCGCCCGGCCTTGATGCTAGAGGACGGGAAAGGGGCGGGGGCCGGGCAGCGGCGGCAGCGGCGGCGGCCGCAGGGACTCCAGCCGAACCCACCTCTTTTTTTTCCTTCACCCACCCCCCACCCCACCCCCAGCATAAACCCGGAAGGGTTTCCCTGACACACTGGCTGAGGTGCCCCAATTCCCCGAGACTGGACGCGTTCACTTCCGGTGGGGAAAGTCCCACCTCTTCTTCGGGGCGAGCCGGGTGGCGCTAGGGCCGCGCCCTGCTGAGCCAGCCAGGCTGCCTGGCAGGGTTACAGGTCGGGGCAATGGCCTTGAGAAAGGGCGCCTCAGTGAAACCGAAGGCTCCCTTGCTTTCACGCTGCTAGCGATTGGCCGATTTTTCCCGACCTCTGAACCGCCAGAGTCCCCTCGGCTTCTAGGCGTTCACCAGCTGTTTTTGAGGACCAGATTCCCTCCTCGGTCCTCTCCAGCCAATAACCTAGCAGCCTAGAGAACACCAAACATCCCTAGGCTGGAAGTTGCTAGGAAAATAAAACAGTTTAGGAAGTTGATGCTCGTTGGGGCTGTTTCTCCAACTTGCTATTTTTTCCTAAGCAATGTATACCAACGACCCTCAGAGTTGGTTTGGGCTCTGATTTTTTAAAGTGGTGCTTTAGTCATATATGTTACTTGGTATTTTATCAGTTGGTATATCTGCCTCACCTCCCTCAGCAAATACAAAACTCTTTTTTTTTTTAAGTCACAAGGATCAGCACTATAAGTAAACTTTATGGTGGGCTGTTCCATTCTGTTTAACACAGCAGAAATGGCAACCTATAGTCAAGAATGTTGATTGCAAACGTTTAGGCCTGTGGAATAATTTTATTATCATCTGAATGTTTTAATAAATTGCCCGGGTGGCTGCTCCACAGTGAAATTTTGTTTTAAAAACCACCTTTTATAGACTTGAAATTCAAAAGCAAATAATAACTCTTGTGTTAAACTGAGTTCTATTTTTAGAGAAAATTGTTACTGCTAACTTTCTATTTGTAAACTTGGTGTCAGATCCACGGGGCCACAAGGCTGGGCAGTATTTTGGGCTTTTCACTCACTTCTTTATTCAAGCACACTCAGAAACCCGAGAAACGCTGGCTAGGCCAGCCTAGTTAAAGTGACTCCACATTTCCCTATTTGCAAGCCCTAATGGCCAAGCTGGATAAAGAGATGTATTACCCAATGTAAAGTGTTAGGCATTAGAAAATAGGCGGATCACAGAAGTGTGAGGTCCCATTGTCCCTGGTCAGTATTCCCCAATGTCACTTACAGTAGTCAAAGGACAGTTTAGTTCAATTTCTCCTCCTCTCAAGCTAGTGCAACCTCTCCAGGGAAGTCTCCAGCTCCGCCTCCATCTAGCCTGGGTCCTGCCTGCTATTCAAGGCACTGCCCTCTGCTGGAAGAGCTTTGACCTGTGAGGTCTGAGTCTCCCCGTAGGTCACTCCCTGTTCCTTCCACACTTGCTGTTGCCAGATTTGGAGCTCTGCTGCTGTCTCCCAGTCTGGCTGTCTCCAGACCGTCTGGTGGAATCCACAGCCCTCCGCGGGCCATGCTTATAACTGAGTGTGGAAATTCCTCTTTTGATCCAGGATCCAGCCAGCAGTGAGCAATCAAAGCAAGGCTGTGTGTGCCTTTTCACTTAACTGTGGAAACTGTTCTTTTTGAGGCCGTTTCATCTAACATCTCTGTTTTGGACTCATTGGGGAGAAAGGTCTTTGCTCTTGCTTGCATTATATAGAAACGCACTTCTCCATGCAGTAGGATCCCATTGATCCACTCTCAAATCTCATCCCTACAGGACGGACGAATGTGCCACCCAGTCTGAAGAGACATTCACATCTTGTCAGGAAGGATGTTTGTTCATCAGTTGCACCACACATTAGGAAATTAGACTCGGAAGTAACTTCAATTCCAATTTATTTCAGGTAATTTTAAAGAATTGTGTATGTTTAAAAACGGAATACTATGTAGTTTATAGGCACAAGAGTACATTTCTATGTGTTGGTATGAAAAGATGGCCTGTGGAGGATGAAAAAAAATAAGGAACAAATGTGTACTTGCTCTCACTTTGTTAAATGTGAGTGTAATACAGCCTTTGACTTGGAAACAAAGCCATTAATTAAGGGTTCAGAGTAGTATGAGTGAACTTAGATTTCCCAAATAATTTTATTAAAAAAACTCCTGAAATTATTGTAAAAAGGAAGTAATTATATAATCTTTTAATTTTTGTATTTTATGTATTATTATTATTGTCTGTGTATGCATGTATGATGTGTTTGTGAACGGAGGTTAGAGGACAGCTCTTAGGAACATTGGTTTTTTTTTTCTTCCGTCTTGGATCCTGAGATCAAACACAGGTTGTCAGGCTTGTCAGCAAATGCCCTTACCCACGGAGCCATCTTGCTGGCCCTAACATTTCTAATGTTTTGAAAGGAGGAACTAAGTAAGATTGCTAATTGTCACTGCATCAAAACCCAATCTCCCAACCATTTAGGGACCAGTCTGTCCCATTTAAACAAACTCCAACTGCCTGCCTCCCTGGATGGCTCTATACTTAGAAAAGTATTTCTTGTGAATTTTCTGATAAGGTCCCAGTTGTTCACCAACATACTCTAGTAGGCAGTGAGGGAAAAAGACAATTTAAAAGTGTTGACCTAGCCCTTGAGAATCAGTGCTCTAACTGGTGCATTCAAAGTGTAGTTCTACAGCCATCTAGCCGTACGACCTTAAGAGATTTTGCAGCTCTGAGCCTGGAGCTCCTCACCTGTAAAAGGGAGATAAGAGTTTGACATGGGACTGAAGTGAAGTATTCGAGGTAAGGAACAGTGCACAGTCCCCTTGAACATTATGGAGTTCCAACACATACATTTGATGTTTGTATAAAAATTTAATGGTGCTGGGCATGTAGCACAGGGGGTAGAGAAATTGCGGAGCATGAATGAAGCCCTGATTTGGATCACCAGCACCTCATACAACCAGGCATAGTGGCACATGCCTGAAATACCAGCCCATGAGTGGAAGCCAGAGGATCAGAATTTCCAGGTCATCCTGACCCGCATAGTTGAATTTGAATCCAGCTTCAAACACACAAGACCCTGTCTCTAAAAAAACTGCTAATAAAATAAAAAGTGAAATGTTAGGGAAGAAAAGAAAATTTTTAAAGGCCTAATGTGTCCAAATGAAACACACACACACAAAAAAAATTCTCTGGCATATACTGTTAAAAAGCTTCCTGTGTTTTATTTTAGGGCAAAACATTATTTACATGCCGGTGTGTATGTCAGTCCTCTTCTTATGCACAATTTTTGAAAGCAACAGAGTATTTACACTATTCTGCACCTTACTTCTTTGCATTTAATGCATCTTGATAGTTCTTTTCCTTTTCAGAGCATAGAAGTTTACCTTTTCCTATAGGTTTCTCTTTCCCTCCATTGCTGTATCAAATAAACAACCTTCCTACTGAGGGACAATCTTTTTTTTCTTTTTACTAATTCTATGCATCTTTTATATATCACATATTTTGATCCCATTCATTTTCATGCCCCTTCGCATCTGCCTTCTCTCCCTACACCCCCCCCTAAAACAAAACTGAAGATTTAAAAAAAGAAAGGGAAAAATTAACAATCTAGTCATGGAAGCTGCAGTGTGACACAGTCAGTCACGCAGTAACCTCCTTTTCCCATACGTCTTTATTTGCAAGTGTTCATTGCAAAGAGTCATTGGTCTGGTTCAAGGCCTCTGGTTTTTTGTTAAACTATCGATGCTGGGCTCTCACTGGAACTCTTCTTGGATATCCTGCTGTTGTCCTATGTTGTGGAGATCCTGCAGCTTTGGGCCTTGGGTCAGGTCCCACTGAAGGACAATCTTTGCTTCCAGTTGCTTGCACTGAATGGGTCAAGCAAATGCCGTTGCTACTTAATCTTTAGGGAAACCTTCTATTTGTTCTATAATGGAAGCAAAGGGTACTTGCACATAAAATTCCTTGGGAAAATATTGCTAACTTGTTCTTCAGAAGGGTAACTTGGTTTATAATCTCACCAGTGAAGTATGGCCATGTTACTTTCTTTGTAAATTCACCCTAGGTACTATTAATTTTAGCATTCTATGGCTATTGTTACTTGCTTGAGTACCTATGGGATTGAAACATGCAGGGTTGTATTCTAGGAGTTTGAGCTTCAGGGTCATTCCTTTGTTTCTAAAGCTGGGCATAGTAGTCTAATCCATAGAATAAGCAAGACAGACAACCTACTCAAGGCCTCTGGTCTTCCATACACTGACTACTCAAAGAACATAAACTGCACTAACAATGAATTCCATCCTCATCAGTGAACCATCAATACCAATGCCAAAAGAATTTTGTTTTAATTCTATACATATCTCCTCTCCAATGTACTAGTGCACAGGTCTCATTCTCAAGAGTACAGCCATTTTTTATTACCTTGGTATGAAGAAAGAGTCTAAATTGTATGTTGAATATGTAAATCACAGGTAAAAAATTCAGTTTTTTGTATTGTTTTTATTTAAATTAGAAACATGAATGCTTCACATGTCAATCCCAGCTCGCTCTCCCACCCCTCCTCCCTTGTGCCTCCACCAGCCCCCCAGCCCCCCAACCAATCCCCACATCATTCCCCAGGGAGAGTGAGGCCCTCCTTGGGGGGATCTCCAAAGTCTGTCATTTCATCCAGGGCAGGCTGAGAGAGCATTCCTCTATTTGGAATGGGCTCCCAAAGATCATTCATAAACCATGGTAAACGCTTATCTACTACCCAAGGCCCCAGTGATTTCTGTGGCCTCCTCACTGAGACTACATTCATGGAGTCTGGATCAGTCCCCTGTTGGCCTCTCAGGCATCAGTCTGGGATTCAAGAGCTCCCCTTTATCTGGTCAGCTGTCTTTGTGGGTTTCACCAGCCCAGTCTTGACCCCTTTACTCATCACTCCTCCATCTCTGTCACTAGGTTCCAGGAGTTCAGCTCAGTGTTTAGCTGTGGGTATCTGTCTCTGCCTCCGTCAGTCACTGGATGAAGGTTCTAGGATGGCATATAAGGTAGTCATCAACCTTATGATC